TACTACATTTCTCAACTCTCATGGCATAATATATCAAACTACAAGCCCATACACACTTGAACAAAATGTAATTGCTGAAAGAAAACATCACCACATCCTAGAAACTACACGAGCTCTTCTTGCTGATTCCCAACTACCATCATCACTATGGCTGGAAACTGTGATAACTGACGTATACCTTATCAATAGCCTTCTATCTAGAACTACAACAGTCCAATCCCCATATCAACTTCTATTTGGTACATACCAGATTACAGCCATGCCATCTCAGAGTGTATGGTTGTGAGTTTATCCATGGCTGCCACCCTGCAAAAGAAACAAACTGCAGCACAGATCAGATCCCTGCATATTTCTGGGCAATCCTGAACATAATAAAGGCTACGAGTGCTTCAGATCCATCACAGACAAACTTGTTATATCAAGACATGTCGTTTTTAATGAAAAGTTATTACCTTAGAAACAATTAGCATCTCAACCTATTTCATCCTCATCTTCAATCTACACTCCTCCAATTACACTTCTACCCACAACAATTTCATCCACATCATCATTAAATCCTGCCCCATCGCAGCCAACTACTCATCAACCTCCACCACAACCAAACAACCAATCTCAACTTCAGAACAACCCAGAGTAACTCAACCCATCATACCAAGTAAACATTTGTTTGATTTAATGCATTTACAGCAACCTGAAATAAAACCATCTATCTAAAAACATGTTGTCAAACATCCCCAGTGGCCGAAAGCCATGAAGCTTGAATTCCAAGAACTAAAGTCTCAGCATACCTGGATTTTGGTTCCCCACCCACTGAACAGCCAATACAAGGAGCAAATAGACCTATCGAATCAAACATCAAGATGGCTCGGTGGCTAGATAAAGCCCGACTTGTGGCTCAAGGCTACCAATAGGAATTTAGCATAAACTATACAGATACTTTCAGTCCAATGGCCAAACTACCTAACATCAGGCTTCTTCTAGTTGTTTTACTTCATCATAACTGGTCAGTTCTTCAAAAGGATGTCTCCAATCCCTTTGTCCATGGGCAGCTTCAAAAAACTGTAGCTACTAGGTTATATTGATCCTCAACATTTTAATTATGTATGCTTACTGCAAAAGTCCATTTATGATCTTAAACAAGCACCGTGCCAATGGTTTAACACATTCACCATCACCAAATCAAATTTGCATTCAAACACAACCAAGAAAATACCTCTCTACTTATATACAAACACAACTCCACTCTTATCTACCTTCTAATTTATGTAGATGACATCCTACTGACTCAAAACAACTCTACGACTCTCCAAATCTCCTCCATGATCTCCACAAACCCTTTTCTATAAAAATTTTGAGACCAGTCTCAACATTCTTGGGCATACATGTACAACACACCTCATATGGATTTTACCTTAATCAAACATCCTAAGCCAAGGAAATTCTCCACATAGCGGATATGATAGATTGTAAGCCTTTAAACAATCTCATTTCCCACTCCAACACATTATTGAAATCCACCAAAAAATTTTCCAAATCTACTTTCTACAAACAACTATTTAGCTTTTTAAAGTATTTAACCAGCACACGCCGGACATTGCATTTTCTGTAAACATTCTTTCTCAAAATCTACATCAACCAATCAATCTATATCAACAAAACGATTCCTTTGATATACTAAAGGAACACTTTACATGGTGCTACCATTATCAGTGGGATCACTCACTCTCCGCACTTAACTCAAATTCAGGTCGGGTCATCGATTCAAGCAACAGACTATCAATTACAAGTTAGTGCTCCTTCATTGGTCCAAATCTGCTCTCCTGGCATGTGAAGAAACAACCTATAGTGCCTTAATCATCCACAGAAGCTAGAGCCGAGTTATTTCCTCGATAGCAATTGATGTCATATTTTTGAGAAGGCTTTTGCGAACTTCCAAATCTCTACTGAACAGCCCACTGTAATTCACTGCAATAATACATCGACCATGGCGATTGTGCATAATCCTTCATTCCATGCTCAAGCAAATCATATAGAGAGATTAGCACTTCATAAGGGAGCACATACGCTCAAATGTGCTTGTCATAGCTTACATTCCTATAGATGAACAAATACAAGATAACATTACTAAATCTTTACCTACACCATGTTTTCATAAGCTTAGCAACGTGCTTACTCTTCGTAACCGAGAAGTCAGCTTGATGGAGGACAGATAGAAGATATCTTTACTAAATCTCTACCTAAACCACGTTTTCATAAGCTTAGCAACAAGCTTACCCTTCATAACTGAGAAGTCAGCTTGACAGGGAATGATACAAATATCATTCGGTAAAAGTACATCTTCATTAACCGCATACAAACAATTCAATCGTTGGAATGTAACGAATTCTCCTCATCTCAGTCATACATATATGAGTCTCCAGAGTACTCTGCTATGCCTATATATATCTATTGCATTCACCATTACATATATTCAAGAATGTAATCCTTTACAGAAATAGATATTTTTTTATTTCTCTTCCTTCCTTTCTATATTTCTACAGGATCAGATTCTTACAGTAATATCATCTTCTACAATACCAATTTATAGAGTGTTATTAGCTTGTGCATGTTATGACACCATAAGATGATCAATAATAAATGCATTTATTTCTAAGAAAAAAAAAAAAATTATGAGATTGAGTAAAGCCATGATGAATCTCCACTTTAGGGAGCCATTTTGTTTGCTAAAAAAAGAATATAATGTAAAATTAATGCAATGTAACTGAAATGTAGCGTACTTTGAATAGTTTAGAATTGATTGGTTTGATGTAAAATATATGTAGAAGATTAACTATTTTATTTAGTTTGAAGTAAACTGAATTCAATGGAAAAGCCGAAGGGGAATGCTAGTTGGCAGTAGCAGCAAGTGTCGTCGCATGTTAGTGGTAGTGGACGATGGTTGTGGTCACCAGAAACAACGATGGTAGGAGGTGCTTGGCATTAAGTGGTGTATAAAGAGTGAGTTCCAAATACATAAAAGTTTTATAATGTATTTTTTTCATCCCACCAAACACCGAGAATTTGAAAACCCCGATATTTGTTATGGAGCATCCTGATAATGCAAGCAATAAAATGACCCATTAACTTAACGAAATGTAGTGACTCATAGAAGAAAGACATCCAAATTTATATTGATGCAAAAAATATATATATAATAAGAAATAGGTTTTTTTTTCAAGAAGATCCGATGCATCAAATGATAAGGGATATAAAGTATAAAAAGTAATGTAATGGTTATGGATTCCCTGATGAAGATGAAATCAAAACAAATGACAACCTAAAGTTAGAAGTTTTAATCTCAAACAATAGAAGATTTGCCTAAATAGTTGACAATATGTAATAGTTGATCTAAGAGAATCAATAATAAAGCACATTAGTCATACATGACTAAACATATGTACATGGCCTTCTTGCAAGAGACTTTTTAACCACACATGAAAGCCCCATTACACATGATAACATGTTTTAAACTGATTTAAATTCAATAAACTTTATTTGAAATCATTTTATCTGTGAAAAGTATAACACTAGACTTCAATTTAAAGGGAACATGGACATTAAGATCATTATCTCCATTATTGTTGTCATTTGGTTTAACCCAACTACATAAGGTGATCTTATGAATCCTTAGTTTTGATTTGTTTAAACTTAGTGCAACTTGAGGTGTTAAAATCCCTTTGCAACTTTTTTTTGGCTCAAATTCTATATGTATTACCTTTTTTCTGCCATTTGTTCTTCCTAATCCTTCTATATTAATGTTATCAAATGAAAATATTAATGTGTCTTTTAAACTCCATATAATATGTTGAAACTGATTTTTTATATTTTTCACAATCTTTTATCATCTCATATAATCATTTCACAAAGCATCATTTGTAGTTGTTTTTTTATAATTTTTTTCTCAATCAACACTTCCTTATTTTATCAAATATTAGTTTTAGCATTCTCTATTATTCTCCACATAACCATAGCATTAGTAGTGACTTCTTTAGCAATCAGCACACAAATCAACGTAGCATAGTTTGCATTGGAGTTTATTAAATCCAACATAAACTTTCCACGATATTCACTTATTACAAATTATGCTCGGCGTAGTTCTTAATTTTAGCTACCTAGAATTAACTCTATAAATTGTATGCTCATCTATATTTACATTGTTAAGAAAAAAAAAAATCTAACATGCTCATATTTATCACATTTAAGTTATCACCAGATATGTACAAGATTTACTCATTTAATAATCTCAAACACATAAAAAATGAATTTCATAAATCCAACCCTTGTTCAACCTCTCTTATAGCCTCTTATCTTCTAATTTTTCCTCCATTTTCCGAATTTATCCTTAGCCCTCAAAGGTGTAATCAATCAAAATTGATATCCACAAGTAGAGTTCACCAAGTTGTACAATTAAATTTTTTGTTCTAACCGTTCTTTGAAATGAAAAAATGTTGGCTAGCTATTAAAAATGGTTTATATAACAGTTTTTCTGTCATTATACGTAAGTCTAAAGACGACATGAGGCAGCCTTGAACTAAAGCTTGCACCTTAAAATGGGCCGGTACGAATACTTAGCATTGAGCGTAGATTTGTTAGTGTTGACACTGCCACAATACTTATAAGAAGCTAATACTAGATAAAACTATGCACAATACCAAGCACTAGAGCAAGATTTTTTTTCTTGTAGTAATGTACAAAGAAGCTAAGTTCTATCAAATGTCCATCAAATGGAACATCTGCAGCAGGGATAGGGATTCTCAAATATTAACCCACGTAATAGAGACACTTTACTTTTCCCAAAAACTAAAATTAAACGCACAAAAAATTAAAGGTGAAAAAATCAAGTTGCTTATAACAAACACAGCCTTTTATCAATTAACCAAAATTCCAAAGTATTATTGAAGTATAACCGAAGACGTAAATCGAAGAAGAGCTGACAGATTATAGTTTCTATGAGCGCTCACGAGATATTCATCTGACGGAAGAGCATGCCCAGGATGGCGAGAGAGCAGAGGAGCACGATAAGAACATCGGAGAAGAGCGAAAGGAGGCTTGAGTCCCGGTACGCGCAGTGGTAGTATACGAGGCTTCCGCATAAGAGTATTACAGCCGGCCGGCCTAGCTCCAATTTACCGTCCGAAACCACCGCAACCTCCTCCATCTCTCTCTCTCTCTCTCTCTCTCTCTCTCTCTCTCTCTCTCTCTCTCTCTCTCTCTCTCTCGCCCGTCAAAAGAATACTTTTTTGTGCTCTTAGGTCGATAAAATTGAACTGAGCTAGAAAAAAAATTTGGAGAACATTTACACCCATTTGAGAATATAAGATCTTGGTTGCACATGCTTCCTAAGCAATTCTTAAATATTTATATGTATAATATCTAAATTTTGATCTTTGGATATATAATACTCAAATCTTTAACATCACATTTAAAAAATTGTTCTTATTTTTTAAAAGAAAAATTCACTTTTTCAAAAATATGTTTATTACATTAAAATGTTACAAATTTTAATATCAAATGTTGGATTTTAGGTAAATACATAACACTTTTATGGTATGTGTGTAAATTTTCCTAAAATTTAGATAAAATTTTTCCCTGAAAGCCATATATATAAATTTTTTTTTAGAAAAATTTTAACTTTATATGCTATATAATAGTAAAGATTTGAAAAAAAATAATGTCCGATAATTATTTTGATGAATAGTATCCAAAAAGTAAAAAGTTCTTTTTGGGTCAAACATTACTGTCATTTAGTAAATAGAATAAGTCTTTTGTTGAATAACTACTCAATCTTTTCATCAAAAGTACTTTTTAATTCTTTTTCTTCTCACAACTCTCTTTTTTCCATAAAATTAGAGAGTATGTCTTAACATGTGACAACATTTCACAATTACAATCATTTTCTATCAATTGCCTTAAAATATTTGGGGTTATTTGGTTTGTTAAAAATGGAATGCAGTATTAAAATAATCTATTGTATTTGAAACTTCTTAGAGTAATTTGGCTCAGTGTAGAATAAATACAAAACTTTTCATTTTCTTGTACGATTTAACAAAACATAAATTCAATATAAATTAAAATTATTAGGGTCAATTGATACGTCTAAAAATTATTTACTTTTACTTTTTTAATTGATACGTCTAAAAATTATCTACTTTTTTATATATATTTCATGCTCAATTTTAATGATTTTTAATGATATTACACTTTAAAGGAAAATATTTTACATATTTTTTGTTTCAGATACAAGAAATGGACTTTCGGAGAAAATGAAGCAAAAATAGTGCATTTTGGAGTAAAAATGAGCAAGAAAGAAAATTCTGACTTAGCACATTTTGATATGTCTTTCTATGTTTAATCTACTTCACAATTCTCACACATTTTGAATGAAATTACACTTTTGAAAAAGGTTATTTTCATGCTTATTTTGTACGTCTATCTATCAGGAACGTAATGCAACTGAAACAAAATGAAACGGAGCTAAAACGAAGTCAACAGAGCAAAACGGTGGAGCTACTGCAAGGTGGCGCCGACAGCGCCAGAGTCAAGAGAACGAAGAGAAACAACGTCGAAAGCTCCCAAAAAAGGCACCGACGGTGCTAGGGACGGTTATTTTCCCATATACATTGAATTTGGACGATTTTTTGGAAGGTTGCTTGAGGCATCTCTTGAGAAATTTGTCCCTACACTATAATATAGTGACTTTATGTCAGAAAAAATGTGTGTGCGAGTGGAAAAAAGTGGAGAATGTTTATAGATCTTAGTATAGGAGTAGAAATGTAGATTTTTACCTTTTTAGAGAGATTGGAGAGGGGATTTTGAGAGAATCTGTAAGGAGATGTAGTAATATTGCATGGATCAACGGGAGACTTTGTGGGAGTGATTTTTATCTTTATTTCATGAGGAAAAAACTAAGTATTCTATTATTTATTATCTTATGATTTTGTAAACACTTATTTAGTGATTTTGCTTTGAAGAAAAGAAGTTTTCCGTTGTTTTTTCTTTGCGCTTTGTGATGTATCTTTCTTACTCTTTCTTTTTATTAGGAAATAGTGGCATGAGAAGATTATGTCACTGTTTAACTTTTACTTTTCTTTTGTAATGAGTGGGATTTATGTTTAGGATATTGAGATGCATGCTAGAAGAAGTTTTGATTATAAAATGATGGTTTTTACTTGCACTTCATTTACATTACAATAAGGGTCCGTTGTAGCGTTAAAATTCGTTGTAATAACATTAAGACCCGAGAGGGTGGTGTAATTCTCAATAAAGTGGAACCACATACAAATTCCATGGATGGCGAAGTTCATAGGGGTTGAGTGCAAATAAATAGGAATATTATTGGGCGAAGAATTGAAGATTCTAGGGTGATAGACTAAAATCCCTAATTTGGTCTTAGTGTTTAATAACTAAAGCGAGAGTTAGCCTTCAGGGAAAGGGAAGTGGGAGCTCTGGACCAGGTACCCTCCCAGCCTAACCACAGATTTAGAGACTAATCCTAAGATTAGCCAACGATTCTCTATTTCACTTGACTGAGGGTAGAAAATTAAAATTGCTCCTTTTTGGCACATGCAATATTTAATGTATCTCATTCCTTTATGTTATCTAATTCACTACATAAGAATAGTAGTTTTTAACATCTCAAAATTCTCCAAACTAATTCATCAAAAAAGGGTTATCTTTAGAATTAATATTTTCATTTAGAAATAGTTTTTAATTGTTTTAAACTTAAGACTTGCATTTAGGAGTACTTGTTAGAAAAACTAATTAAATCGATATTCCAAACTAAGGACTAATAGTAGTAGACTAGAATTTGATTAAGGACCTCTTACCTCGCTTTTTCGTAGGATCGCTCGTGGCTTCGATATTATGGGCTTAATCAGAAATCCCTATATTACTTGAAGCAATACGTGCACTTGCATAGAACTCATAGTGTGTGAAATAACTTATATATTTTATATAACATTTAAATTTTGCACATTAAATACTTAATATAAATTGGGTCAAGTTTTTTGTCTTATTTTTTAAAACTATATTACTGCGTAACTTCGGGTCGGATCAAGTTTTTGACATCGTCTCAAGGGAATTAAATTGATATAAAACACACAGAAAAACAACACACACTAGGGGCGCATCAAGTTTTTGGCGTCGTTGTCGGAGAAGCTTCGGTAAGAATGGTAGGAGAATTTTAGTTAAACCTATACGACTTAGATTTGAAATTTATAGTATTTTTATCTAGTTTGTTTGGTTATTGTATGTTTATTTTAAATAAAATTAAAAACACCAAAAATATTTTTGATATCTATCATATTAGTTACGTCTTTAAATTTGTATGCTTAGTTCAGGAGCTGCAGACCTTAGATTTTACAACTCTGATTTAGAGAGAACTTTTAGGAGATTGATGAATCAGAAAAGACTCCATAAATATAATACATAAATGAAGGATCAACGATATAATGAATATTCAGATTTGGATTATAATGTTAGCAGCTTTGAAAGAGTAAAACCCAATAGAGTGGCAAATTTTCAGGAAGATATTCTTACAATTTTAATTTCTCAAGTTGAAGATATTGAGAGGAAGTTAGATCAACATATAGAAAGTTATCCTCAAATACCCCCAAATATTCAGGAAAATTCATTTGGACAATTATTGAACCTAACTATTTTGAAGCTAGCCATAAGATATATAATCTTTATTTCGATTATTAAAAACCAGGTTGGGAAAACTATTCAAGCGTTAACTGGAATACTAATTTTGGAGGAGAAAACCAATTTTGGAAAGATAATCAATTTAATCAGACATGTGGTTGGAATAATCATGGCTATTATAATAATGAACTTTCTTTTCCTCAAAATTTTAACTTCAACCTCTAAAATGAGGAGAAGGATTTATTAGAAGAGGTTGTCATTGAAATGGAGAGTGAGTTGGACAAGGGACCGGTCAAGGGACCGCAATAAGGAATATGAAAAACCAATTGGGGCAGATTATTAACTCAATTAATAATAATCCTGAATTTAACTCTAACTCACAAAATGAGGAGAAGGAATTAATGTTAGAAGAGGTTGTGATTCAAATGACAAGTGAGTTGGAAAATCAAGAGGTCGCACTATGGAATATAGAAAACCAACTGGGGGGCAATTTAATAAGGCATAAAGAGCGCGCCCCCCCCCCCCCCCGAGATTTTATTAGTGACCCTGAGATAAAACCTAAAAAGATGAATGATGAGCAATATAAAGTTATCAAACTGATATTTAGAAAAGAATTTGAGGATATGTTTCAAAAGAACTTTGAGTTGAGAAATGAGGATAAGGAGATTGAAACACAAATAGAAAAAATTCCTATAGAATTAGAAAAACTTATTTACTCAACTAAGATAAATATAGAAAGACCACCTCTACCATTTACTCAGTACTAAGGGGAAGAATTGAAAGACAACACTGAACAAAAGAGTAAACAAGAAGAATTTGATCCAGAATCTGAATTATCTAGAGGTAATCCGATCAAAAATTTGGGAGATCATGAAGTTTCTTATAAAGAACCATTTCTTATAAAATTTAAGAATGATATTAATATGAAAATTAAGAAAATCTTAATATGAAAGAAAATCACTAAAAGAATATTGGATCTAGAAAGAAATATGAGGAACAAGGATATAAATCAATCTGAAATGGAAGAGCTGAAAGAAAATTTTAAATTCAAGGACTTTGTAGGAATCGCTGGATCTGGAAAAGATTAGGTGATTGATCAAGGATTACTTAAATAGAATTTTAATTTGGGTGGAATTATTTGTTGAGCTTATGACGTTAAACAAAGCACATTATGAGAGGCAACCCATAGTTATTAGTGTGGTTTAACTTAGTGTGCTTAGAAGTTATGATTGTAAGTGTTGTATTGTGTTTGCTTTAGTGTGGATTGATCAATTTGATTGATGATTGGTAGATGTTTGGATTATTAGTGGTTTGATTTGCTTTTTGTGTGTTATGAGGGAGGTGATTTCTTAACTTCTTATTATGATTAGACTTGTATGTTCTCTTGTAGTAGTTGAATTGACAAGTCCACTCTAACTCGGGTCTCACCCGGAATTGAGTTTTAAAAGAGACATTATGAATTTATCAATGACAATTCCATCTCAATTTTTTTTACTTCGTTTCTTTAACCTTGTTTTCATTTGATAGAAGTAGCTAACCTATTTGATGAGTAACACGTGGATGAATTTACACTATACTTATAACTGCTTGAGGTGCTTAATTATTAGGATATGGTGATGCATGGAGTTGGTGCTTGAGAACCAATATATCAGGG